AAACAAACAAACAAATAAAGTGCCACCGAAAGGAAACAATGGGTCCCTCACCTCAAAAAGAAGCCAACGTGCATCTTGGCAGCACTTCCTTTAGAATCTTCTATACTATGACAGGCTTAAATGTAAAATATTTCTTGATTAAATCTTTTAATGTAATTTACTGTATTTTCAATAAGTATTTCTTGTCATGATTCAGAATCCTGCTACAAAAGAGCTGGCATTTCTTACTGAAGCAGTATGATCATCTCACTTCCAGAAGCCACAAATCTAGACCTCCTTACTAACCTACAAGCTGAGAATTGATTGAATAACTTCTCCTTAATTCCTGAAAATAGAACCTTGTTTAAAATTAGTTCGTGGAACATCGAAGAACGGAAGGGTAAATGTACAGATAGCTTATTTGTGAATTACATCAAAAAGTACGATACAGTATTATACTATTACAGGAAACATGGGCTCTAGACCAGGTATTGCTAGGAGGGTATAAGGTGTATTGCTAACCTGCAAATAAGGTCATTAATGATAGATAAATGTAACTGTATTGAGCAAGTTTTGCCTTCCATATATTATTCTTGCTTATATTATTCCTTGCTCTTTGCTAGGTGTCCACTGAAGAATTTCTGGTATGGGGTGGAACCTGACATTTATGATAAGATACAACTTGTTTTGCAAAAGTAAAAACGCCATTAGGTTAGTATTCCAAATCATGTAGTGGGGAGGAATTGGGGGGTGTTACTTTAGATAGATTGTGAGCTCATCGACCAATTGGCTAATGAGAAAGGTAAGGGGAATGGAGGGGGTTATAGGTATAAAATCTCATGCACAATACGTTTCTGGCAGAGTTAGAGACTCTGATTTTCTAATCGCTTTCTCTTTCTCTCTGATGTTGCAACTGCGTAACAATAAAGGAACTCTTTTCACTTTCACCCCAGGCTTCACAGATTTAGTTCTACTATACGATAGTTCCATAACAATAACAAAGGGAGACCAACTGCTGGCCTAGCTGCAACTGTTAAAACTTTCTTAAATTCAGAATATATTGAATTGCCCATCTCTCAATGTCATCTATTGCCTATTAAAATTTGTACTCCTAACAAAGTACAGTACTGATTTTTAGACGGCTGAGAAGGGTCTGGGAAGGGAAGGTGGCGATTTCGGCCTGCTAGGCCCTGGGAGGGTGGAACATGGCTGGGAAGGGTCTGGGAAGGGAAGGTGGTGATTTCAGCCTGCTAGGCCCCGGGGGAGGGTGGAAGACAGCTGGGAAGGGTCTGGGAAGGGAAGGTGGTGATTTCAGCCTGCTAGGCCCCGGGGGAGGGTGGAAGACGGCTGGGAAGGGTCTGAGAAGGGAAGGTGGTGATTTCAGCCTGCTAGGCCCGTGGGAGGGTGGAAGACGGCTGGGAAGGGAGGGGAAGGTGGCAGTTTTGACCTGCTAGGCCCGCGGGGGGTGGTGGAAGATGGCTGGGAAGGGAAGGTGTCTTTTTCGGCCTGCTAGGCCCGTGGGGGTGTGTGAAGACAGCTGGGAAGGGAAGGTGGCAGTTTCGGCCTGCTAGGCCCCGGGGGGTGGGGGTGGAAGACAGCTGGAAAGGGAAGGGAAGGTGGCAGTTTTGGCCTGCTAAGCCCTGGGTGGTGGAAGACGGCTGGGAAGGGTCAAAACCGCCACCTTACCTTCCCTTCCCAGCTGTCTTCCACCTACCTTCCATGGGCCTAGCAGGCCAAAATCGCTACCTCCACCCCCGCGTAGAACTTACCTGGCCTTCCTCCGCAGCTTCTGCCTAACTGTTGGGGCGAAAGAGCTACCAAGAAGCAGTCTCTTTCACCACCTACAGTTAGAATTTAAATTGCACCCTTTCTTTTACTGCATTCACTCGGTAAGACGCACACACTTTCCCCCCACTTTTTTGGAGGAAAAAGTGCATCTTATAGAGCGAAAAATATGGTATACTTGTTTTTATTATCTTCTTTTGATGTCTCACAGCCATGCTGGAATTATCAGAACAATTCAGAGGTCTGATGTTCTGCTTGATTTTTGAAATGAAAATACGTAGATAGATCTTGTTTTGTTAGTTGCTTCAGCTGACACTGTACTATTTATTGATCAAGAATCTCTTCAAAATAATTAAAGTTGCACTGATCCATTTATTCTGTCAGTGGAGTAAGGGGATTTAGAACCAAGCTGGTATCTTGTCAAATGGCCATCCATGCTCCTCACCCTTGGAGCAGCTGGTAAGCAAAGAAGAAGAGAGAAAAAAAGACCTTGAACAACTGCATGCAATTTGCAAGCACAAAGAAGATACAAATACTGCAAAAGTTTAAAAGCAATGTGGAAGTACATTCCTTTTATATCTACGGCTGAAAAACAATCACCTCTCCTAAGAAGGGACAGACATGATGCAAGGGTGACCTGGCTGGAATTCCTTTATTCTGTGTCAAATTCACTCATCTTGGATGGATAGCTAGACACTTTTTGGCTGGTATGAAGTAGCAGGAAAAAAACACAGAATGCTTTTGAGAAAGGGAAGCATATCTGGTAATTTTTCCAGGGGCATTTAAGTATATAAAAACATTCAGGAGTAAGAAATAATGTTTGTTTGCATGTGTTTATGCATTGTATAAGTGAGGAGACAATGTATTTTAAATTTAAAACATGACACCAACCTCCATCCATCCTTTGGAAGATAGCTGAAGACTCCATCTATAACACTTGCAAAAAACTGCCCTCCTGTGATGAACAGTGTATTTATAGTAACTAATCTGCCTCTTAGATGGGGTGGAGCAACTTCTGCAATGTATACTGGTACCGTCATAGAAGCAATACCTGCAAGACAGAAACAAAATAATCAGAATTAAATTCTCTTTAAAAATGGGAACACAACACATCCTCGATATCATAACAGGACTAAATCCAATTTAGTTCCAAATAGAATAGACCCACTGAAATCACTGTGATCTAAGTTAACGTCAACTAAACTGTCCACATTCATTCCAATGGGTCTGCTCTCCTTGGAACTAAAAAAGGATTTATTCAACAGCTATCAACAATCATCACATAAAGCCAATAAAGAGGGGAAAGTCTGTACTAATATATTTACGAGGCAAGGAAAATATAAGATCTAACATGAGATGGACTGACTTCATAAAGGAAGCCATAGATTTCAGTCTTATGGACCTGAAGATTGTAAATGATATGACATTTTGGAGGTCATTATCTCACAAGGTTGCCATAAATCAGAAACAAATCAGTGGTACATGAAAAAAATAATTCAAACTAAGGGATTTGCTACTGCTGGATATACTCAAGTTTATGACATAGCTAAAAGATAACAGCACAATCCTCTTGTGTAAATTTATGGTGGTGGAAGCTGCACGATGCCATCATCTGGCACCAGTAAAATTTGCTTTAGATTAATTGAAAGCTTTCTATTTCACCTTCAACTTCAGGTTCCAAGGTCTGCTGGGGCTCCCTTTTGTCCTGGGGAAGCTCCCTTCCCACTTGGAAACCTTTTACAATCAAAACCTCTACTGGATTGCCACTGCCAGGATTGAAAGCCTTGTTGGTTATTTTTGGCTATTAAAGATTTCCCCCGGGCTTCCATATGTTCTACATGTAACATCTGAAATTTATACTTGTTTTCATTATCTTCTTTTGATGTCTCACAGCCATGCTGGAATTATCAGAACAATTCAGAGGTCTGATGTTCTGCTTGATTTTTGAAATGAAAATACGTAGATAGATCTTGTTTTGTTAGTTGCTTCAGCTGACACTGATCAGGAATCTCTTCAAAATAATTAAAGTTGCACTGATTTATTTATTCTGTCAGCAGAGTGAGGGGATTTAGAATCAGAAATCTTTAGAATTTAAAGATTTCCCCAGGGCAAAAGGAAGTGCTAGGGAGCCTTGGAATCTGAAAAGGCAGGATAAGAAGCCTTCAATTAATTTAAGTTAAATTTTACCAACCTGGATGATGCCATCATCTAGCTTCCACAGAGTAAATTTAGAGCAATAGAGTTATAGAAATGTAAATTTTGTTTTTTAAAAAAACACATGAATACTAACTATTATGAAGATGTTATATAAATTAGTACAGTATTTTGGGTCAATAAGTTAAGCAAGGTTTAAGATGCTGGATGAATACTGGGGAATATTTGTCTCTCATACTCTGTAATAGTTAAAAAGCAACTAGTATTATACAGTACCATACAGGAAAAAAAAGAAACAAACACAAGAGCAGATAAAAAAATACTAAGATTTTTTTTAATGGATATTGGTGCATTTATTCTGATATTTTACTACATACAGTAAACATGACCATAACTGCTTAATTTAAACTGATAGTTCAAGTGTTCAGGGAAAACATATTTAAAAAGCCCACATCTAAGACCAGAAGTTCTGCATATTTCCATGAAAAAACAATCACAAGACCAAAAGATCTACAAAGCACACCCTGTATTCAACATCATTTAAGAGCTGGCATTTTACCAGGTTTCCAAAGCAACTGAAGGAAAGAGTAAACTTAGCTGGTTCATATAGTTGTGCTTTTTTACTGTGATTTTCCCAACTACTGTCTCTAACCACACACAGTTCTCAAATGTTCTTGCACAAAAACTCCCAGAAGCCTTCACTATTAGCTGCGTGGGCCAGGATTTCTGGAAGTTGTAGGCCAAGAACATTTGGGGACCCAAGGATGGGAAACACTGCATGAAGTCATGCAGATCAGATCAACCACAATGTACATTCTTCTTGGCAACAAACGCCACAAAAGCACTATCAGAGATTTCAATTTTACTAAAAGAATATCTTGTTTAATATAGATTTCTTTAAAAAGTCTTACTATGATTTTAGATAGGGTCCTCAAAAACACAAGAAATGTTATTAAAATATCAATGGGCATTTAGAAACAACACTAGTGAACTATTACAGCAACAGTATGCAAAAACACTTCTTTAGATGTTCAAATACTGAACTCTATGATTACTTGGACTGCCCAGCACTAACCTCAGTTAAATATATAAACAACCCAATCTCCAGCTGCTCAGATTTCTACACATTCAGTTTATTGAAGTCCATGTAAGTCATAGAAAAGGTGAAAACAAAGCCACGTTCTCAAGAAGAATATAATAAATACTCTTCTAGCATCTCTAGAATACTCTTTGGATTAGCCACTCCTGGCAGAAGGCGGGATGATGAGCAATAGGAAGGGACCATAGAGCTTGCGTGAAGAGTGGCTAATCCATCACAAGCTCTGAGCAATAGGAAGGGACCATGGAGCTTGCAGCAGCGGCAGAATGGTGAGTGGTCGGTCTAGCCCCAGGGGGCCGGACCCCCGTTATCTGTACCTGTGGGGGAGATATTCGTATTTGTATGGGAATATGAATGCCTCCATCTCTACTCATGACCCATGAGTTACTAATCTAATCCACATTTCCAGAACTAACATGGAGAATAGCGTATATTTAGTCTTCAAATTCTGCTCTCATATGCATCACATCTGAGGGAAATGAGTTTTGTGAGGTGACTCAAAGGCTGTCTTTGACAAACATCTCTTTCTGATTTATTAGTAAGTAGTATACACCACTCCATACAACAAGGAAGGCCTGAGTGCTGCCACATCTAGCACAGAGGTATTTAAAATGTGTCTGAAAACACTGCTGGGAGCAACAAGACCTAGTTGTTGTTGTTTTGATTATATATCACCTTACAGTGCTAGAGCACTCTTTGCACAGCTTACAACATAATTATGCAAACATTATTCCAGCCCCTGCTATGGGTCAAGTACTCATTTTACCAGCCTCAGAAAGGTGGAACGCTGAGTCAACCTTGAGCCATCTACCTGAGCCCATTGGGACTGAGCCCTGGCCATGAGCAGACTTGACTGCAATACTGTTTAACCACCGCACCACAGAGCTGTTCTAGCAGCATACTGTACTAGGTCTCCAGGAGTGTTTCTGGACACATGCACTAGATACCAGGAACAACTCTTACCTTCTTCCAAAAGAGTAAGGGGAAGGTTTTGACCACTTCCTAGTACCTATCTTAAGAAGAATTTCACATAGTACAAATTTTCTAAAAAGCATGTGATACAGGAACAGGACAGTTACTAAACAATATTTTGGAAAAAAACCTCCATTGAATTTATTTTTATTTTTTAACATGACTGTTTCTTGGTCGGTTCACTATGAGACATTTATTGGCAGCTATTGTAATAAAATTGTATTAATTGTGGGTTTAATCCGGAACGATTCAAATGAAACATTCAATATGTCCTCCTTTGTCCTCCTTTTTGTCTTTCTATGTCCTCCTTTTGGTACCCATGTATCTGGCAACCCTAGTAAAAGGGAGCTCGGTTTGAGTTAAAACCTGCTTGGGTAAAAACATGCTTGGTTGCTTTAAAAGCGCTTGTTTTGATTTAAAAGGTGCTTGGTTGAAAAGGTGCCTGTTTTGGTGTAAAAGGTGCTTGATTTAAAAAGTGTTCTTTTTAAACAGTGTTCGTTCGTGCTATGGTTTCCTACCTTTTTTTTAACCTACACCATCTTAGGTTAAAAAAAATTCTGCCCCTAGTGGTAGGAATGGATTAATCGGCTTTGCATTAGTTCCTATGGGAACTAATGCTTCAACTTACTGTACAAACCACCCCTCGACCTAAGAACCAAAAACAGACGGAATGGATTAATTGATTTTCAATGCATTCCTATGGGAAATGCTGGTTTGAGTTACGAACTTTTCGACTTACAAACTTCCTTCCAGAACGGATTAAGCTCATTATTTATTTATTTATTTATTTATTTATTTGATTGATATCCCCCCCATCTGGTATATTCTGCCATTATTTATTTATTTATTTAATAAGTCGAGGGTTGACTGTACTTCTATTTTCTTTTTTTCTTTTTGCAATATTTAACATTTTCAATGGGCTATGTGGCCTCTGAAGGGTCCTGGCCAGGGTGGCTTTGATTTAAATCATGATTTTAATTTTTAAAAATTGGAATATTTATTTTACAATTTAAATTTGCTTGGCAGCGGCTCAGGCCTCGCTCGCCGGCTCTCACCCAAGATAGCGCCTCCTGCACCCTCCATTCAGAACGGCAGCCTGCCAGTCGGCAGGCAAGCAGGCTGGCTGGCAGGCTGCAGTTCAGGATGGAGGGTGCAAGAGGCACCGTCTTGGGAGAGAGCTGGCGAGTGAGGCAAGGCTTTTTTTGACTCTTGACAGCAGAGGATGAGTGGGCACTTCGGGGGGGCAGGCAAGGTGGGGGGCACAAACTATAGTCCGGCGAACCGCAAATGGCCCCCGGGCCGCATGTTTGAGACCCCTGTCTTAACGTATGCAATTCTGCAGATCATGTTCCAAAGCTTTGAATTATGCTCCTAGGTTGCCCACAAACTATTTAGTTGCAACCCACATATTATGGAATTTATAGGCTACTTACTTTCAGAAAAGGCTGCCAGAATGGTTGACTCTGAAATATGAAAAGAAAGACTACAACCAAATAAATAAAAGGAGCTACTAATACACACAACTTGGCCAGCAAATGCAGTACACGCAGCAGATGAAAACCAGTAAGCTGTTATGCTGGAAACATGAAAGTACCGAACAGAAATCTGACACCTGTTTCATCAAAAAATACATGAATTTCAAGATAGCATGTCTGATTTTAAACAATGATTGAAGCCAGTCATTTCTTAAGATGATTTGAAAACAAACCTTCACAAAAGGTACATGTATTTCCCTTTCAACCTGCTGCCATCTTAAATGTAACACGTTAAAAAATGAAAAAGCACACAATGCTATATAGAAAGCTTGCCCCAGAAATTACAGACCA